TGACTTCTCTCTAAAGTTAGAGCAATGATTCTGCTGACCCTACTGCCAGTGACAGCTCCATTTCACTTAACATTTTCAACACAAAGATGACCACAGAGTTCTACCTAGAGCACGTATGACAAGCTGTAATTTTTGCAAAGATCAGTGTATTATTGGATATCCTAAGCATTTAGGAAGCATCAATCAGAAATCTATGAAGCCATTAATGGAGTTTTCCAGTATTTTCATTTAAATGACACTTAGAAAGGAGTAATTGTCCAGCACTGTTTCATTAATAGGTTTACATGATATGTGATTGCTTGTAAAAACAGCTAGCCCTGAGGAGAAAGACCTTGGACGTCCTTTCCAGCCCTATGTAATGGAAAGATGACAGTGGAGTTAGGAGAGATTAACTGCTGTAAATGATCAGCATCTCATTAATTTGTTCTACTGCTTGACTACATACCATTTTATGTCCCTATAAATTTTTCAGATACAGTGCTAATATTAATTATTGATTGGCTGTAGAAGTGTCAGCTCCCATCGGGTACAATTAATAATACATACCAAACTGCAAGATAATAAATTTCTGTTCATTGAAAGTGAATCAGAATGCATCAGATACTCTTATTTTCCATTATTGAAAACTGATTTATAATCTTTAAAAATTGTTTTCATTACACTTCTTGAGGGGGGAAAAGTAATTTTATACCTCAAGGGTGTATTCTCTTCATTTACTTGAAAGACCACAGAGATGCAACACTTAGAGGAAAGTTTGTACACATCATGGTGCCTCTCTAGATCTGTTGCACCTTTTCCTGCAGACAAAGCTTCTCCCTGAATGGTGCCATTTTCCACATCTCTACAGGAGACCATACCATCTGTCAGGTCTTGGCTAAGCTGGGATTGTGAACAGTACAGTGGGTGTGAGCAGAAACATGAACATGGGCTACAAAATGAGGAACCCCATGAGTTACATCTTCCTTGACAGCTGGGGCTGTAAGAACATAGTCCTCTGGAGCAAAAGGAGTGCAGTTAACTTGGCTGGGAGCAGGAGATGATTGCAAGAGCACAGGAGCCTCAGCTATTATACTGAGATCTAAGTGTAACTCTGACCCATAAGCAAAAAAGACAAAAGTCTCATTGATTTCAATTGAAGGAGGTTTGGGTCTATTTACTGTAACTCAGTCAATTCTCAAAAAAATAATAAATTCTTTGTCACATCTCATATGTATTGATTTTTGTAATTACAATGAAATTGGTGGCAAGGGTTGGGGGAAGGAAACACACGATTTATGTTAAATGCGATGCACAAGATGTCAAGGACAAACAAATTGAGATGCAATGACCATACTCATCCTTGATGCACTCCTCTGTGCTTAGATAACGAGTGCCAGACACAGGCTGTAGTGGAGAATCTCAAATCACACACTGCTTTAATGTACAGAATTCAGTAGTGTCCGGTAAAGAGCTGTTCTTCTACAGCAGCCTCCACAGCATGCACAAGAGATGCCCAAGGGGAAGAAGATAAGGACAGGACAAGCTTAATGTGTATCAATGACTAAGAGGAGGAGACAAAGAATTAGAATGGAGGAGAAAAGAAATACAAGCTTTTGCTGCTAATAAAGCTGCCAGTAGATAATGTAAGAAAGGGAAAAAGAAAAAAAAAGAAACAGGAAAAAAGAAGAGTGAGAGAAAAGAAAATACATATGGCCTTGGTTGGTAATGATGCTGTTAGGAAAAAGCAGCAGGAGAGCACTTGAATTTTGTTTCCACTGTGCTTTCACTAAAATGGCAAGTTAGAAATTTTTTGACCTAGAGCCAGTCAGTATTTCACTTCTTAATAAGGCGACCGTCTCCTTTTCCAAATATGTTTCTGTGAGTAGTTGGCCTGTTTCCATACAAAACACACAGATTTGATGATAAAATTCAATTTCGAGTTTCTACAGCATCAGAGAGAACTTTGTCATGAAGATATCCTCATTACTTACCCAGATACAATATGTCATTTTGGGCCCATTAGAGCCAATGCCTACTCTGTTTCAGCAGG